TTAGGAATCTTCTGTACCAGCTGTGTGGTGATCTCAGTTAATTTCTGGCAAATTGAAGTCCCTCATAAGGACAAGGGCAGTTGACTAAGTGTCCCTTAGTTCCTCAAAGATTAATTTGTCAGCATCATCGTCCTGGCTGGGAGGTCCATAGCAGACTCCCATGATGACATCGGCCTTATTTGTTTGCCCCTTGATTCTTAACCAGAGTCTCTCAACTGTGCCATTGCCAGTTGTGAGCTCCACACATTCTAACCTTTGAACTGCCTCATGAAGGGAGGTGCCAGATTCTTCTCAGGGGTGCGCAGTGAAAGGTTGAGATGCAAGGAGTTGCATTAAAGAAAAGTTAGATATAGGAATTAATATATTAAAACCCCCACCCTTTTAACCATGAAGAGCCTCAAATGCTAGGAGGGGGTCCCAGAGAGGTTGTGGGATCTCCATCCTTGGAGATACTCAAAACTCTGCCGGACACGGCCCATCGCAGCCTGGTCTAAGTTGGTCCTGCTTTGAGGGGTGATTGGAGCAGGGACCTCCAGAGATTCCTTATACCTTTTTTATTCTACAACTTTAAGATCCAGGCTAAGCCTCTCCACTCCCAGTCTTCTGACATCTTCCCTCAGTTCTCCCCATCAGAACAGCATAGCAGAAAAGTTTTTCTCTGGCCTTTAGGGAATAGTCCTAGGGCAGTTGAGTGTGCTTTTGTACAAAAGACACATAATAACTGTCAAGACAGGAACCAGTTCTAGTGAGTTGTACAACTCTCTAGTGAGTTGTACAAACTGGGAACACCTTGTTCAGCAGTGACCACTTGCATCAGGCTGCTGATCACATTAACTCAACAGTGAAGACAGTGTCAGACTCTAATGCCTTAGGACAGTCTCCTCTTAACAGCTTCAGGTGATGATAGTAGTGAAGATAAGAAAATATGTGTTACAATAATACTTGGCCCAAGAGCCGGTTCAACAAAGTTTCTTTTAGTTGTATATTCATGCTCTTTGGAGTTTCTCCATGGTGCATTTAGAGTGGCAAAGTAGCCAGTCTCAGGCTCTTTTAAGGAATGCATTCTGGCAATTTTGGGGTACTGCATGCAACAGTTAAGCAGTCCAAGTCTCCCAAAGGTAGGTAGAAGCCAAGAAATCACTTTTGTGCTTGGGGTGCAGTGTCCATGCAGGGAAAATAGAAAATACATGGAGAAATTGAAATGACAGATAGAAAGGCAGTCCATTTGCTAAATACTGCAAGGAATTTGTAGAAGTGGAAGTACATGGAGGTTAGAAAAGTATCTACAACATGACTCAACAACAGCAAAGGGGCACTAGAGCACAAGAAATAAAGAGCCATTATTTTTTCTTACAGCAACATCCTGCTGTCCAACTTCATGTCATATCTTATTGCTTAGTGCAATCTCATCTCAGAAAAGCTTCTGATGTCTTGCAAGGGAAAGAGCTATTGAGGAAAGAGGGGCTGCTGGAGACAGAGCTGGTGGTGGGACAAGACTGCAGGGCACAGAAACCGAATCTCTGGCCTATATAGGATGTGCATTGCAGGACTGGATTCAGTTCACCTTGACCGCAAAGCAGATGAGATGACACAAGCTAAGGGCTGGGAGGAGATTTGAAGGTCTAGATAGGAGCATATTTCAATATGCAAAGAGAAAGCAGCAGTCATCCATCTGCATCATCAACCCACCACAGCATCTAGAAAATGGGGTGCCATAGAGCAGCAGAGGAACCGTTGTTGGGGTTGTGAAACTCATTCCATAGCCAGGTGAAAGTGGGAGCTGTTGGCAGCTCTGGAGTTTTCATAGTTAAGGGGGAGCTTGTTTAGTTGTTAGGCTTGTGTATCCTAAATATCCTCTGACGCTGTCAAATGCCTCTTGAAAAAGCAGATATTTGGAGTCCTTCTGTTCATGATTAAATCTTTTTAAGGGTAACATGTAATGCATTATTGACCAGTTGAGTTAATGGAGAGGTTACAGTTTTCCAATAGAAGCATAATCTAAATTATTTGTTTTTAAATCCATTCTGCGGAGTGGTGCTGATGTGATTTTCATTTACAACCAATTGTTAATTAGGCCAAGCTTCAGTGGGCATTTCCTATTTATTTTGTCCTTTGGTCTTGCTTAGTCAATGTGTGCATGTGTGTGTGAGCTGCTGTTTTTCTGCAGTATCATTTGCAGTCATTTCACAGCCTGTCCCTGGGCACCTTACAGGCAGTCTCTCTGCCACAGACTGGAGAAAGACTGCCCCCACCACCTATCCTGTCCACCCTTTGCTTCTCATGGTTGGACACGCTAGAGTCTGATAATGACACTTTATGTGCCAGCTTTCATGACTTGCTGATGATTTTAGTGAACACAGAAGCCTGTAGAAGACAGAAGGAGGAGTTGCTGGAGCAGAAGAGGGGATGGATAGTGCAGCAACAGAACGCAGTAACACTACAAGGGTTACTGCCCCAGGGACAATGGTGGATGGCAATGGAAAGTGATAAGGAAGTTAGGGGTGCCTCTAGCCCAGAGGTGCCTCTTGAGTTCACTATGGCCTGGGGCATAAAAGAGAGTTGCTGAGTGGTTCCAGTAAAGGAGTGAATATGTAGATATATAAATACTGAAATAAATGTAGAAATACTGAAGAAGATTGGGAAATGTAAAAAAAATCCTGAAGAATTGCTTGAAAACAGTTCTATTTGGCCCAGGTTCAAGACTGCTAACAAATGAACTTCTCTGGCACATTTTTTTGCCTTCATTGGTAAGTATCTGTGAATCTCTGCTTTTTAAGGTTTATATGAATGAAATGATGGAGTGACCACTGCTCAGGCATGTATTTTGGAAGAGTGGTGGACTAGATACTTTCCACAGATTCTTCCCACTGCTGTTTATCCTGATGTCTTCTGTGTCAACGTTGTGTCTGAATACTAACTAACCCTCTTTTGTCACATCTGTCTTCTTGCAGGCATATATGCTGAAGTCGTTTGAAATGAATGGCCTGCCCAAGGTAGTCCCTTTAAGTTTGCCTTATCAAGACTTCAGAAAAGACATGTCAGACTACTGGGAAAAGCCTAAGGTATCCCAGCGGATAAAGAAAGTTGATTTTTCAAATATTGTCTTGACTGCTCCTTGCAAACCTCTGGAACCTTATCTGGAAATGAATGGAAAAGAAGAGGAGGAAGAAGATGAGGAAGACTACGAGGAGGAGGAAGATGAGGAGGATGAGGGGGAGGAGGGAAGCAATGAGATTGACATGCACAGTGGTTCCAGCAGCGACCTGAGTCAAAAAAGCACAGAGCGCAGCCAGGAGTGTGCACCATCCACACTCCTGGCTGATGACCAGAAGGGATCGAAGGGTCGAGCATCCACTGCTGACGGGGACGTGGAGCTGGAGGAAGGCTCAAAAACACTAGTGCTGTTTTCACCAGGTGATCTGAAAAAGTCTCCTGTGGCCACAGACTTAGCTCCAGAAGTTGATCTGGGCACTCTTGCTGCACTGACACCTCAGAGCGAGCGGCCTCAGCCTATGGGTAGCCAACTGGATGTATCTGAGCCAGGGACCCTGTCCTCAGTCCTTAAATCTGAACCAAAGCCTCCCGTGGCAGTGGCTACAGCTTCCTCCCCCTTTACCAAAGTTGAGCGCACATTTGTTCATATTGCTGAAAAGACCCACTTAAATGTCATGTCTTCCAGCAGCCAGCTGATGCGGCATGAGGAGTACTGCCCTCCGGGACAGTTTGAGGAAGTAATTATTGAAGAAGAGCTGGAGGACAACTTGGTCCTGGTAGAGAATGGAAGCATACATTCGGGGCTAGAAGGGGCGGAGACCGAGAGCTGTGCACTTTCAGCTAATCACATTGAAACCACCTCAGAGACAGTGGGGGAGCAGCTGGCCCTTCCCAACGGCATAGCAAAGCCTCCTGAGGACAAGCAGAAGCTCTCCAGCAAAGTGGTGCTCTCGCTGGATTTGGAAGAGCCTGGCAAGGTGGTTACCAGGGAGACTGGCCTTGAGAAGCCAGCATCAGTAGCAGGACACCTTAAGCGAGAAGAGACCCTCCTTGACACACCACAGCAGGGCCCCAGGAGGCTGCTGGGCTCCAGGTATAGAAGTCGGATACCCATTTTGTTCTCTGAGGAGGATACCGGCTCAGATCTTTCAACTTCACTCTCAGCCAAAGAACGGCTTTATAAGAGGGCAAAGCAACCTGACTTGGCTCGCCTGGTGATGGAGAAGAGACAGAACCGCCTCATCCGGCTGGCCTCTGGGGCTTCCTCCTCAGCCTCCTCCAGCGACGAGAGACGGCGAGCCTCAGAAACCCTGTCAGCCACTGGTTCTGAGGAGGACACCCATGACTCTGATGATTCTATCCCAAGGAAGGGAGGGAAGAAGGCTGCACTCCTGGGGAAAGAAGAGAGACCCATAAGCACAAAGAGCAGAATTCCTCGTCCTGTCACACCAGTGAAAACACCACTGGAGGCAGGAAGGTCAGAGATCTCCGTGGCTGTCGCAATTGCAGGGCTGTGCAACTCCCCGCAGGATGCAGCTGCTGTCTGCAGGTAAGATCAAAACAGTGAGAAATGCAAAGTGTTGGGCTTTTTGAGGAGACAGAGCCATGGCTCTGCTCTTCTCCCATGACGTCACCCTTCACTCAGCTTGAATGCATGGTCCATCTTTGTTTCCTACTGTCATTTCAGCTCAGCGGTGTGTGTAATTTTCACCTCTCTGTCTTCTTTTTTTGAAGCCTCTCTTCACTTGCCCTGGCTTTCCTTCCACAACCTCTTTCACTTGATCTGATCCTGCTAATAGCATGTGCCCCTTGCAGAAACTCCCCTTCATCCTCCTTCTTTTCTTCCCATGCAGGCTTCAGACACAGAGACCAGCTGGAGGTGTCCCAAATGAATGCCGAATAACGCAGGTACAAAGCCGGCTTCCGTCTTCACCAAGTTCTACTTCTCTTCCTCCACGGAGCAGCTCACGGAGGTCCAGCGGTGCATCCCCTCGGAGCCCTGTCCTTCCTTCAAGGAACCCCAGTACGTCCCCCAAAAGCCAGCTGCCACCTCGGAGGGAAAGTCCTTCTCCCTGCCGACAGCGTAAGCCAGGGACTGCTCCTCAGCGAGTTCCTCCTTCCCCCCGACCTCAGCCCTCAGCTCAGGCTCAGGGGCCAACAGGAGATTCCCTGCCATCTCCTAGCATGGCCAAAAAACGACAAAGAGGAAAAACCCAGACTCAGAGTCCAGCAACCAAAGGAAAGCAGATGTCCCTGGAAAGTAAGGCAGCTGCCAGATAATGATCTTCTTCTGCGAGCCCAACACACTGGGTAACTTCTGAGTATAGTATACACTTGAGATGCTGCAGCACAGCCTTCCATGCTGGACCCACGAGTGTATAGCGGTAGCTGTACTTCAATGCTTCACTCACACTCTCACCCCACACTGCAATCAGCTCCCATGGGCCTGACAGCCTCTGAGCCACGGAGCCTTCTTCAAGGGAGACATCCAGCCCTCAGCTCACGCTTGCTAGCGCACAGCACCAAACAGTGACCCCAGGCAGCCTGCCCAGTGCCTGGCCCTCCTCCCTCCCCAGGGATTCCCCTCTCTCTGTTAGCAATACCAGTCTCCAACACCACCCCCAGCTGTGGAAAGAGGAGCAGAGAAGAGAGCAAGGCCTGCTAAAGAGGAAGGCTCCTGTCCTTCAGGCAGCTCCCTCCTTTCTCCTTGCTGGGAAAACACCAGCCTTGGGCGCTGCCATCTACCTGAATGTTGGCTCACCTCCTGCCATCTCTGTTAGCAGGGGATTGCCTCCAGCTTAGCCAAGAGGGAGGGATGTGTCCTTGTGTGCTGAGAGAAGAGAAGCAGCAAGGTGGAGGGGGCTCTTCTTTCCAGAGATCCCTCTACAGGTGGGCATTGGGAGACAGGCAGTTCTTGCTGGATGCTCCTACCTGCTCCAATATGTCCCACAGAGGATGCCATCTGGCATTGCTGCTCAGTTGACACTGCTGCTGTTTCAGCAGACACCTGTGTGGTGGGTACTCAGGTGGAAGTAGGGATGTATTGGCAGCTTGCTGGGAAATCAAGAGGTCTTGCTAATTAATGTAGAAGGGAGCACACTGCAGCCACTTCTGTCTCAAACACCAGACTGTGATCTGTGGACACCGCATCTCCCAACAAGGGTGGTCCCTCTGGCCCTGAGTGTGGTTGGTGCCACAGACCTGTAGTCCACCAAACACAGCTCCATCGTGAAGATGTGAATAGTCACTGGATGCCTTTAGCTTTGGTGCCCCTTGCACCTAAATTTCTTGTGTTTTATTGTCACGCTCTTGGTGTTTGTGAATTTTGGCACTGTGGTTGAAAGTTCCCCTACGTGGCAGGGTGGGAAATTATTATCCTGTAGTATACCCAAAAGATGCTGCTTTGCAAGGAGAGGTTTGCTGGCACGCTGTGGATACCCTGTGCATTTCTATCCAAGAGTATAGTGGGTTGAGTGGCAGAGGTCAGGTTTCTGTCTTTTTCTTGGTGCTCAACTCTGCCACATGTTGTATCAGCACTAACAGTGTGAACATAAAAGTAAGGACTGTGCTCTTCAAGTAGTATTATCAGAGCAGAAGCTTAGCACTCAGCTAGAACTAAATCATTCAACTTTTTAGCCCCCAGACGAATTAGGAAGGCTTGAAAATAAAAGTGAGGAGGACCTGGCCGCATTTGAAGAGATCTTGAAGTAGATGAAATTTTCCCCACACCTCACAGGAGAAAATAGTCCAGATCCAAATAGTTTGGGCTTCACACCATTGTCATGCCTAAAAGAGGCTCTGCATGAGGCAGAACAAAAACACAGCTGCTCTGTACACCTATTCTTGCAGCTGCAACTACCTGCAAATATTTTCTATTTGCAGACAACAAAGCCTGATGAAAGGAGTCTGGACAGTAATAACCTTGATTCATTTGGACATGAATGCAAGCAGTCACACTGATGACTATTGAGTCCAAGAAATCCTGAAGTTGTTCATATCTACAGGGTATTCCAGGAACTGTCCTGGAAAGGAGCATGAGAGCTGTGACAGGGTGGCTGGGAGAAAAGGGTGCTCCTTGGACACCCAAACAGGGAAATGTCTAGAAACAGGACACAGGAGTTACCTCTTTATATGGCAGTTGCCAATGCTAAGAATTTATTTCACCTAGTTCAAAATGTTTTCCAGTGACATGGTTCATCCTGGTTGGGTAAACAGCAGAGCTTCCACTCTAGAAACACATGCCCTCATCTTTGCAGAGCAGCATTGGCAACTCAGAGGGAACTCAGGCTGTGGTATGATGGACTGTGCAGATTTTGCCACCAAAAGCAACATCCCTCCAAATTCCAGCTGCCTCATTGCACTTCTACCACCTCACAATGGAGCAGTTATTTGTTAAAGTGACTGGAAATGCTTATCCAGCATGAAAACAACAGCTCTGGTTTTCTGGTTTGGTTTTCATCTGGTTCAGTTCATCAGTCAGGTTCACCATTTGGTCACACAATAGAAGAAGGAGAGGACAGAGAGTGTGACCACTTCTAGTGGCGCTATAATGTCATATGAGTTTGAAGTGTGGGTCAGAATAGAACCTAAATACATCCTGCAGGTTTAGAAACTAGAAAACAGAATAAACACAAACACAGATTCTTCTGAGAAACATAAATCATAATGGGACTCCTATTAATTTATCGGAGGGCTATTAATTTTAGTGTGTTCAGATGGTAAGACTTTGTCGTGAAGCCTTTACCAGATCTCCATCCAGGTCTTAGATGCACCTGCCAAAAATGACACCGAAAGAGCTTGGAAAGAGGACTACAGGACTATTAACAGGGTTAGCAAACCTGCCTCATCATGGGAAGCCAATAAAGCACAATCAAAGTATTTGTTCAAGAGAAAGTTTAAAGGAGAGTTTTTGGCAGCACACCTATACCCGTGTCAGGGAGGAAGCTCCAGGGCAGAGACAAGGTCAGGTTGGACAGGGACCTGAGTAGCCTGCTCTTCTGGAAGGTGGCCCTGCCCACTGGGAGTGGGGTTGGAACCAGATGATTTTACAGTCTTTTCCAACCCAAACCATTCTAGGATTCTATGATCTTCCATCTGGCACATGAAGGAGGGAGTAGCTGAGAACAGCAGAGGAAGAAATTGGGCAAGCTTTTAGTTGTAAGCAATCCTCCAGTGAAACTCCTACAGAAATGTGGGGACTTTTTCTTACTAAAAGGTTTCTAAGAAACCGAGCTTTATTCTAAGGGGTCTTTCTATCATGACCCAGCCAAGTAGCAGGCAAGATGCTGATGACACCAAGGTAGCATCTCCTTGTGGTGCAGTAGATTCCTGGTCCCACCAGGACTCGTGCCAAAGCTGTCATAGGCTGGAGAGGCATGAGACAAGTCCCACAGTTTTCAAAAAGCCAGAGAAAGATCAGCAGCACAAAAAATAACAGCCATTCCCAGCACTGTTTGACAGGGCTGGGCTGAGGGTGCAGCTGAACCCACAGAGATCTGGGACTAGCATTAGTCATCTCTCCTTGTGGTCATGCTACCAGACTCCCTGCCCCAGCACCTTCCTGCTTCCCAACTGTCTCTGACATGGAGCGGAGCAGGAGAGTGCATCAAAAGCATGGTGTCTCCAGGTCATGTCTTCTGGGGTGGTACCCCAGGGTACTCCCATCACTGGGGAGCAGCACACCCTGTTTGCAGGAGTTCACAGTCCTCTTGTTTGTCTCTCAAGAGGCATTTTCCAGCAGGTGGATCAGCAGGGATACTCTCTGTTAGTATTACGGGGAAAACAGTCCTCTAAAAGGGTTAACAACTCCTCTGGCTCCTCTCTTCTTCCACTGCCCTGCAGGGAAGTTGGAAGGGCACCTGCCATAGCTGGAGCAAACACAGGAGATCATGTTTGGGAACAAGAGGGATGAAGCTGTGATGTTAGGGAGAAGTTAAGTGGTGGAGGAATGCCAGATGATCTAGTCTGGCCTCACAGAACAGGATGGGCTATCACATCCCAGAAATGTGGGGAGGCAAGATCCTGCTGTTCTCTGCAATGAGTCCTGTGCAAACTCTGTCAAGCCTCGAGGACACATGGGACTGCTCAAATACTGCTGTTGGTGTGTAGCTGTGTCCTTGCTGCAGAGGAGAGAAGATTGAAGAGAAGACATTGCTGACCAGAGCAGAGGAAATGTCTAGGAAGAATAAAAAAACACATGTGGGGTCAGGGAAAGAGAAGCAGGTTTCCCAGAACTTTCCCATGTTTGTGAGAATTTCTAGAAACAGCCTCACGCTACGTGGTTCCCATCAGTGTCTTTGCTTCAGGGTCTGTCCTGGCCAGCTGCAGGTAATCGTGCCCATGTGTGTTTTGAGGGAACTCCTGGGACAAGCTACCACTGTGCCTACATCTGTGTGTGCATTGGCATGGGCAGTGGGAACAGACAGGTCTAGTTCAGGGGAGCTTTATGGGGTCCCATATGTGTTGGGACTATAAGTGTCTTTGGGACTGCCTGGTGTCATGCTGAGTCTTCACATTACAGGGGTTTTATCTGCCAGCCGAGAGAAGGTGGCACACTGGCTGGTAAAAAGAGTCAGTGGCTGTTGCCTGGTCAGGAGTTGATTGCAAAGAAACAGGGATAGAGGGGGGATGTGCCAAGTGGCAAATCTGAGTTGTCAGTGCTAAGCCAGTGTGACAACAGATTATATGAGCAGAAGAAGAAAAAGGACCAATGCCACCACTCAGACTAATACCGTGGAGAGGCTCAAATACACAGATGGATGGAGCTGCTTAATTGATTTGTCTGGTTGGCAGCATAAAAACACTTCTGCTTACCTTCGTGCAAAAGGTGTTTTGGTAACAGATGTCTCTGAGTCAGTTGTGCTTGGAATCTGTGAGGGGCAGGAGACTTTCTAAATAAAGAATATTATAATATATATGTTATTATAACAATATAATATAACTAGTGACCATTATATATAGTGGTTAAAGGTTAAAAAGGATCCTGCTATTTTCAAGGAAGTCTTCTGATACTGTGACTTCTAATGTGTGCAGGACTGACTGCTGTGTGCAGTGAATGTGGGTGGGGGAACAGGCTACCACCCTACCAAAGTGCATGTGAGCTGTGAGGCTCCACTTGCCTGAGCACGAACTAGGGCCAAAGCACCACAGCTTGGGGGGTTGGCAGCTGTCATAGTTGCCATGTGACCTGTAATAGCTCCTGGAATGACATACATCTCTGTGGGGCATGGACCAGGATCTGAAGTGTCACTGCTGCCTTTGACTAACACAAGCATTGAGAGTTTGGTGGTGAAACATTTCAATTGAATGCAAGTTGTATCAGGGCAAGAGAATGTTTCACGTTTCTCCTTTCCAACACAGAGGTGTTTTCTCAGTGTAGATCCTGCTCCAGTAGCAGCTCAGTGGTCCCTTAGTGCACTTCTTTCTTCTCTGTATAGTTTACTGACCCATGGCATGATCCCACCACTATTCTACATGTATAGGCACCAATGCTCACCTAAGGCCTTGCCCTACACATCAATCACCCGCAGTTAAATTAATCTTGTGAACACAGTAAAAGTCCCATTGTGGACATGATGAGTCTGGTATCAAATGAATTTCTTCTGGCTTAACTGAAACATGCCAGTGCTTTATCTGTTTTCCAACTGCTCTTACAGCTCCACAAGAGGGAGAGAGCTTGGCCTCCTGTTCAGGCCCTTTCCTCTTGGGGTGCCTGCTTGTAACTGGGCTTCTGGGTGGAAGGCTGTGGGCTCACTCTGTGCTGGTTCCTGAGGTCCTCTGCAGAACCCCAAATAGTTGTTGTGCTCTTTATTAGCCTGTTGCTGCACTCCAAGGGTCTGGGACTACGCTGGCAGTGACAGCAGAGCCAACTGACGTTAAGCCTTCCCTGTGAGCTTTGGCATTGGTATCTCTGCGAGGCCAGAGAATATCTGTTGTTGCCAGCCTGATGTGAGCTATGATCCAGAGTACAGCCAAAATCCCATGAAATGACAGTGATTTGTACACCATCACTCTCCTGTCCCTTCATTCCTAATGTATCTCCTCTAGCAAATCTTGTCTTCAAAGTCACCATATACTCCCTGCAGGTCAGCCCCTCTATGCTTGGGGGATTGAAGCCCTCTTGGATTCTGCAGAGCTTGAGGCAGACTTGGCCACCAACCTATGCAGCATGCCCTGCACCATGCAGGCCAGTGCTCTTGGTCATAAGGAGGAACATCCCTTTTATTTCTGGAGCTGCAAATGTCTGGAAAGCGGGTCTAAAGTAAATATCGATGCCCTCTGTGCTGAAAGGAGGAAGGGAGCTACCAAATCCAAATGGATTCCTGGTAGGGACCGAGATAATAACTGCTCCTGCTCTTAGCTCCTAAACCAGAGGGGCCTGCAGGTGTGAGACCTCTGCTTTGGTGAGGATACTGCTGGACTGGTATCAGCGTGGGGCTTCTCAGTTGCTGCTCTGCCTCTGGCCTTGTTCATATTGCCCCTGCCTGGAGCACAGGAAGGTCTGACATGGGGTCACTGGAAGAGGCAGGGGCTAACATTTACTCAGCACATGGGTAGGTGAGGCCAAGGTGCATGGCATGGGCTCTGGGACTATTGCCTGCAGAGGGGGGGATGAGCTCTGCAGGACATGGAGGTTTAGTGGAGGAGTCCAGGCTCAACCATGTGTGTGAAAACCAGTGTCAGCGACACTACTGTGCTCTGGGACCTGGGCTGCTTCTTCTCCAGACAGGAATTGGAGGTGGAAACACAGATAATTTTATATATCTCCTTTTAACATGATAGCATGTGATTCTACACTAGACATTGTATCTGGCACACCGATATTTTCCTTCGCCTCTGGCACACTCTGGAGACAGGACTTCTGCTCCTTGGTACTGCCTGCCTGGAAATGTGACTGGGTCCAAAGGCTAAGTCTCTCTACATATCTTCTTTGCATTCTTTAGGAAAGCAGCTGGAGAATGTTTACACTCTGCAAACAGAATGTAGGACTCCGACTGAGGAACCACAATCCGGTTCAACTGCATGGCAAATTTCTTGGCCATAAAATCTGGCATGCATCACAGAGGCCCTGTCTGTGTACAGATCCACCTGGCATTTGTCATAATTTCAGATCGCATCTTAAAGAAAAATAAATGATGATGCCATTTCTTGTTCATACCAGACACAGTTGTCATTAGATTTGTTATTAAAAGGGGATTCTCGATCATGCCATTAAAAGCCTGTCTACCTTTTCATTGGTGTCTTCTCCTATTTATTGGTGTTGCCACATGTGAAGCAGGAATACCACCTGAATTGCTGCCAGGGGACCTTGTCTACAATTGTACTTGGGTTGCATTCCAGCTGTGTGGCAGCTCTGCCCCCCCTTCCTTCTCTGAAACCTCCTGCAGAGTTGTGCCCAGGTTGTCATAAAATCTCCTCACAAGGTATGTTCTTTTTTTCCTATATCATGTCAACTCCGTTGGCTGTGACTAACCCCAAAACACGTGCTGGCAAGGACCAAGAGCATTACATTATTTCCATATGAGCACTGATGCAGCTTCTGCCTGGTGCATGTAAACAGGCCTGCCAAAGCTCAGAGTTGTGTGATTTGCTGGCAACCTTTCACTGTGTCACAGTGGTAAAAGTGGCTCTCTCTTCTCTGATTCATGCAAGCAGGCAAAATCAGAGGAACAGCTTGGAGGAATCCACCAGAGCGGGCCTGTTGCTATTCATGCAAGACATGTTCCTGCACGATGAATCTTGTTCACAACCACACATCAGGCAGCAGGCTCAGCCATCCAGTTCCAAAACAGCATCTTTCAGAGAGCAAAGCCTGCTTTTTTAGCAAAATGAAACCAAACTAAAATAAAAATTTAAAAAGTAGCATTTGTAGAGATGTTTGCAGGACCTACATCTAGCTGGTCCATGCAGTCCAACTGGGACCTGCCTGGGGGATCTTCACTGAACTCCAGAGCTGGCCAGGGACAGTGTTTCACATGACTAGTCTCTTGCTCTTCCATTTTGTATGGTTTTCCCAATTTGAGCATATTTGGATTGATCCAATTTGGGATCATAACAATATCTCCCTGACCCTGTCTGTGCTGAGACCAACCGGCTGGGGCTGCAGCTGAACCTGCACATTAATATGCAGGAAGTGGAGCAGAAGCAAACCAGTAATGTGGCATGGTTTGACTTTTAATACTCTTAGACAATCTGACGTGACAGCTGAGGACAACAGCTCTTACAACAGTCCTTTAACTGTGTGCAATTTGCCTCATGTCTATTGTGTGCAGACCACACGTAGTAGCAGTTTCTTATCTAGCTTTGGGAAGGGGTAGTTGAAGAGGGAACACAGAAGCTATGAAGAATTGTTTTCATCAGTTTTTAAGTTCACACCCTTTCACCACTGTCACTTGGGCACCTTTATTTGGCACGATGCAGGCAGGGTGAGATACAGCTTACAAGCAGACAGCTGTCCTTTGTGGCCTGGCACGGGTAGGACAGGGCTCAAACTCATTACTTGGCTAAAGATTCATAAACTCATGGGGCCACCTCGCATGCACACAGCAGGTATACAATCTGCTGGCAAGTGGGTGTCAGTGTCCATGGCTCCCTGAAACAAGCTCATTCTCTTGTTGCTCAGTTTCCATCTCATTTTCTCTGCTGCCTTTTTTTTTTTTTGGAAGATTTTGTCTGTGAATCCTCTTGCTCTTCAGTGTCACCATCTCAACAATGTTACCTTCACCTGTGGAAAAACAATTTCAGTTGTGACTGAAATACCTATTTTAAACATTTGAATTTATGGTAAAATACCTTAACTAGCATCATGGTCTAGCACACAATATAAGTGCTTTTCCTGAGATTTC